TGAGCTTCAAGAATATATTCAGTCGTCCGTCTCATTTTGCTTACCCAAGTCCATAATAGGAAGTCTAGCAATGACTCGGCTTTGAACAAACTGGACTGGTTTCCCCCTACGTCCGGTAAGGAAGAACTGCCATTTGCCTAATAATTCTTAGCCCTGTTGCTGTATCGGAGCGGTATAGTGTTGCATGCTCGACACATTTTCTTGAAATTTTGCTCGAGATATATCTACTAAGCAGTCCGTCAACTATGTTCCAAGGCTGGGGATGTCTAAATTTGGTACGGAACTTGAGGCATTGAATACCCATCACAGCATCTTCCATACACCTTGAGCCAAGGTCAATTAACTGTCAGATCATTTTCAGTTCTATCAAGACATCATTATAAAAGTAACAGAATGCTAGAAAACAAAATAGACAGAAATTTTGCTTGTTATTATAGGTCTTAACGCAGGCACGAGCGGGAATCCGCAGAAATCCGTAGATTTTATTATTCTACATTTGACCAAATACGAAGAATCCTGGGGCATGTTTTTACTCCCCTGGACACTCGTTCGCCGACGGCTCCTCGCTTTCACTGCAACCCATTGAATTAACATCACGGAAACTGTAGACTGTCTATGATTAGTTCAGAAAGCTCGAAATTCAAACTGGATAAAATTTCAGAAAAACAGTTGATTAGGGAATCATTGGGTGTTGGGTACTAGCACCGGTATATCTGAGTCAGCACTTCAATCGCATTCACATTTCATAGGTTGAAGTTCTAGCTCCAAGTAATTATTTAGTATAGATAGATAGATAGATAGATAATAGATAGATAGATAGATAGATAGATAGATAGATAGATAGATAGATAGATAGATAGATAGATAGATAGATAGATAGATAGATAGATAGATAGATAGATAGATAGATAGATAGATAGATAGATAGATAGATAGATAGATAGATAGATAGATAGATAGATAGATAGATAGATAGATAGATAGATAGATAGATAGATAGATAGATAGATAGATAGATAGATAGATAGATAGATAGATAGATAGATAGATAGATAGATAGATAGATAGATAGATAGATAGATAGATAGATAGATAGATAGATAGATAGATAGATAGATAGATAGATAGATAGATAGATAGATAGATAGATAGATAGATAGATAGATAGATAGATAGATAGATAGATAGATAGATAGATAGATAGATAGATAGATAGATAGATAGATAGATAGATAGATAGATAGATAGATAGATAGATAGATAGATAGATAGATAGATAGATAGATAGATAGATAGATAGATAGATAGATAGATAGATAGATAGATAGATAGATAGATAGATAGATAGATAGATAGATAGATAGATAGATAGATAGATAGATAGATAGATAGATAGATAGATAGATAGATAGATAGATAGATAGATAGATAGATAGATAGATAGATAGATAGATAGATAGATAGATAGATAGATAGATAGATAGATAGATAGATAGATAGATAGATAGATAGATAGATAGATAGATAGATAGATAGATAGATAGATAGATAGATAGATAGATAGATAGATAGATAGATAGATAGATAGATAGATAGATAGAGAGACAGGCTAGACGCCCTCAATGCTGAAATTCCTACTTAAGTACACTACTTTACAAATAACAAGTAGTCTGAAAAATGAGATTTGTGGGCTTATCCATATACTTATCCATATACTGAACTGCGTGTGAATGGAAGTGTGAAATTGAAGATTACTAGATTTCTTAGGATACCTAAACGAATTCACAGAAAATCTCGTGTTACCCAGTAATTTTCAGCAAAATGTTCACAAGTTCCTTACTTAAAGTCTTTGCCTGTTTCTAGAACTCAGAAAGTGGAGTTTTGACTACCCTATTTGGTTTGCGCTGTATTCTACGTCAGACATTCATAAAGCGAATGGCTTAAATGAAAAAAAAACATAAGATCTTCTACCCGGTGGTTGGCAAGTTCTGGATTTTGCTTTTTCTGGAAGCAGTTTGTTTTGAAACGATGGCATGCTAGAGCGCTTTCTTCAAACAAGAAGTACTGGAGGATCACCGCACCTTACAAATGAGGGTTATACTATTAGTTTTGAAAAATATATGGTACGTATACGGAAGGCATCTTTTAAATGTGCGGATCACTTATGTGTTACATCTCGTGCTCCGATTCTGGAAACGACATCTTTATTTTTAGAATATTTACTTGGTTGGCAACATAACTTCTGTAGAATGCAACTCTGGCGTTCGATTTGAATCTCTTCAGTGACATACCATCTGAGAGACCAACGAGATGAGTTTTTTCCCCAGCCCTCACTGTTGGTGTAGTTATATTTCTCTGTTGAACTGGATCCCCTGCATGTGAAGAAGCACCAGTTCATTTAGGGAACGCAAAAACAACTAACCAGCCACAACCAACGTGCGCTAAGTACGCGGTTCTTACAGCTGACGATGATGATGATGATGATGATGATGATGATGATGATGATGATGATGATGATGATGATGATGAGGCACACGGACCGACAAGAAGACCAAGCCAGTAAGGGTCATGAAGTTGCTCATCGGAGAGTCACCTGGAAGTCCACCTACCAGAACACGAGCAAGCAGTTTACTCAATAAGGTTTTGCGGACAATCGTAGTCGATCTCTTCCCTCTCATAAGTAGATGGAAAACCACTACTGAAAGCATGCAACCACTGAAGCACAGCTACGCTTCAATTCACAGTCGTGCACTGACGATGTAATCTGGATTGACAACACAGTGGCTACAAGAAGAAACGCTAAGAGCTGAAAACAGTGGGACCACCAGCTGAAAAACCTGAGCTACGGGCGAACTCCTCTGAGTCTCGGTCTAATCAGCATGTTCTTTGCATGCATCGCTAGTTGCTTCCAAGTTTACTTCATCCGACGCACGTCACATTGAAGACATTGACTAGCAAGCAGGAGAGCTTGTCTACTTTCCAGTGACAAGGTCACAATTTCTTTCAGTGTGGTGTGTGGGTTGTGTATACTTTAGTGTTTCTCGTTCTACCGTTGTGAGCAATCCAAAATGTAACCATGCCCGAGTACATTGGAATCACATTGACCTTCCGTATTTTTAGAACGGTTTTCTTTTTTTATCAAGCCACCTTGTGCAAGACGGCTTTTCGTGTGGGCAAACGTTACGATTAAACCTATTACTTGCTCTGAGAATGCACAAATATTTGAGGATATAAAATCCACAAAATAAGTGTTAAAAAATCAATTGGGTTACTTGTAGGTATCGGGCGTTGTTATAAACGCTACAGAAATCCTGTCGCGGTTTACAACTTTCAGTCTTCTTAGTAGAGTCAAATGGCTAATTGCACGTGGTCAAGTGGATCTACGCGGTTGAAACTTGGTCATACGCCATGCCACTTAAATATCATACCCGAAGATGATTCTAAACCTCTACGTACCTAGAGAAATCAGCATTTAGGTGGATATTATATACAGTTTCAATACATTCATCTAGGTGGCGCTTTGGTGTTGGACTTAACTTTGCGCTGATCAGGGTTTCCTATGCCCATTTTTTAGTAGTGACAGCTGTGAGAATGAAGTATCGAGGAGAATTTCAAAGAAATCCCGATAAACGATGTTGGGGAATATGACTGGCTCGAGTGCGTTGCTTGTCGAAACGCCGAGCAGGTGAAGTTTAGAAAACCGGGCACTCTAAACCCGTTCAGCAAATTCACTGAACCAGTTCATTCCTGTGATCCATTTCTACAAATGTCCGTTTTACTCCAAAATCGTAGAAAGAAATTGCAGTTCAACACACTCGATTCGCACGGGCTAACTATTTTGGTGAGATGCACGTCCAATAAATAACCTTACGTAATTCAGGGATAAGTTTTATCGGTCAGTACGTGGATCGACAGAGCCGCAATATCGGCGACAAACAAATACTGATGAAGAGATCAATACACTCCCATACCAATTCTTAGAAATCCTCACGTAACAAGGCCCCAAAATAGCTGAATCACTTACTCGGTTGTCTGATTACCTAATCCAGTTTGTGCAGTTCGTGTCCACCAAAACTGCATACCTAGGTGAGATGGTTGGCGAGTTTTCGGTTGTGTAACGGGTACTTTCATTGAAGATTGTGTCCAGCACCAGAAGCTGCGTTGGTTGGGACATGTGTTACGAATGCTAAACCATCGTTAGCCGAAAAGAGTGCTGTTTTCCAT